TGGGGGAGAAGGGAGAGATGGCTCCTGCTGGATGGGACCTCCCCCCTCCCAAGAACCACTCCTCACTCCCCAACCTTCACTCTTGCACACTTCCAGCCTCCTATCCCTGCCCTCCACACCGCCAACCCCTGCCCTGAAGGTCCCAGGCAATGCCGAGCAAGTCTTCTAGTAACACAATAATAAAATCAAAATATAGTCAGCCTACCCCTCTAGAAGACCATCCAGATCAGATTTTTTGGTATGTTTAGGACAATGTTTAGTGAATATCTCCAGGGCAAGATCTTCATATTGCTGTCTCTGTTCAGGGCTAAGGGTTTCTAAGGATTCCAGTTTGACAAAGGCTTTTGAACAAGTACCAAATGCTCTATTGGCACAGGCACAGACAGCCAAAAGGGAATAGATCTCAACTGCAGGGATAATGTCTTCATAATCTCGCAGATGAAGGGCTAACAAATGGAAAGAATGAGAAAGTTACACCATGTCCCCTTTACCACCTGTACAATTTACTTGTACTAGTAAACTGTATTCTTTATATCAATCACATGATGAGATAAAACAGAAAAAATGAAGTCAATGAAAACAGAGTGTACAGATACTCCTCCCTACTTTAAGAAAATGTATCTTTGTGAATCGAAAATTAAGTGTTTGAAGTAGGTCTTTCAATACAGAGAGAAGGTAGAAGGTACAAACTCCCCAACTAACATCCATTGATTCCCCTGCAGCCTCACAGCTTTGATGTGAGCTCCATGGAAGCATCCATCAATGTGCATAAATGGATGGTCAATAACAATCGTATGGATATTATCTAATCTTGTAGATAGTGACAAGTTAAATTTTCAGTTATCTGGTAACCAGCCTCTAGAAATCTTGGTAAAATTGGTAATTATTCTGCAGAATTATCTTATCTTCAAACTGGCAACTAACTTGGCACCTGCTGACGATTGTTCGAACACCGTTAACAGGCTTGTGTGGTTAGACTGATTCTAGTTTCATACCCTCTGTACTGTAATAAATCCTACCTGTTTTCATTGCTGTGTCTACATAACCTTCATAGAGCTGTCTTTGTGCAAGTATAAAAAAATGATAAGCCTCAGCTCCTCGCCATGCATTATCGGTGAGGCGATTAGCTGAAGAAAGAACATCTTCCTCTAGCAAACCAGCTAAAGCTGAAGTAGCCTAAAAAGAAAATATCACAGGTAAAATGTATGTTAAAACAATGAACAGGAAGAAGGGAAAAGAGATTTTCTGCACTCCTAGTCACTATATCTATTTTTATATTAACTTATGTATGTATATGTATATATATTTAACTATTCATACTGTATCGGGTCAGCATGAAAAAGACATGCTGAGATTTAACTTACTCACTTCTATTTATGGATCTGCGTGCCATTGATACTTTTTAAAGTCAGTGGGTACATCTAGACTATGGTTTTTTTTTCTTTCAAAAGTGAAAGTAGTCTGGATGTGGTTTTTTGGAAATTATAAAAACCCTTTTTCAACAAACTGCTCTTCCTAAAAAAAGTTTTACATGGTTTTTCAAAAAAGGGGTTTTTTTTCCCCAAAAAATGTGTCCAGATTACTTTCACTTTCGAAAAACCAGCTTTTGAAAAAGCAATCAGAAGATATGCAAATTAGCACAGAATTTGCATATCTCCTTTCGAAAAAGAGTGTAGTATAATAGATGTACCAAGTAATAGTCCTACTTACAGCAGATTTTACCGATTTAGTAATGCAGGATTTTTTAAAAAATCATTAAGATCAGAGTTTTACATATCTGCAACACTCCAAAAAATTCTGTTACAAGAATCTTTTTTGTTCTTACTTTGGGATACACAGGCTTAATTCTAGGCTCCATAATAGACTTCTTCACTTCTTAGGTAAGCCCCTGAGGGTACCTCTACAGGACAGCTTGAGGTGTAAGTTACAGCACAAGTAGACACACATACACTACCTTTAGCTGAGCTAGTGCACTGAGGGTAGATCTGCACTGCAGTTAAAAACTCGCTTCTGTAAGGTGTGGAGTACACACACCTGGTAACACTAAGGGGAGCTGAAGATGCACCCAAGTGAGTGCAACACAGCTGGTTGAAATTTTTAAAGTTTTTTTTCTTTTAGGGAACAGGAAAGGACTCTTTTCTAAAACAAAACAGTCTCATTCCAAACTGCTGATATTGTCAAAATGGTTCCTCTTGTGTAAAAAATGTCATGCCTTTTTACTAACTCAAACTTCAAACTCTTTTATAACCAGTTAGCGCCAGTTTTTGGAGGGGCTTTTTGTAAAGGAAAAATTTCACTAACTTCTTGGGAGGGCAGTGGGAAATAGAAAAGATATAGTGCATTTTGAAAAAGGAGGAAAAACATTAAAAAATGGGCCATTTGGCACACTTTGAAATGAAAACAAATTCATAAGTTAATCCTTTGTTTTTCCCCCTCTGTGAAAATAGAACACCATATTTCAGCCAGCTCTGATAACGCAGGGAAAAATCATGAGTTATTGCTTTTGTTGACAATTCCCATCAGAGCCTTTAGCTTTGTTTTTTATATCTAGACCCAGATATACAGAGGTATTTGAGTGCCTGAAGAGGCAGATATATGCCTAACCTGCTTTGCACTCCAGAAACCCCCAGATGTCTAACTTCCATTAAAAGTCAAATGAAAATAAATGCAATTCCCATTAGGCACCTATCTGTCTCGTTAGGTGTTTGTAAATCTAAGTCACCTCCTCATCTTGCTGCTCCATTTCAAGCAGGGAGCTGCTCCGTTTAGCAGCTGCTTGACAAGCACACACACATACACACACACACGCCAATAACTCCCTGCATGTGCTGGCCAGGTGGGAGGCTCAAGTGGCAGTGCAGGCTCCCTGCTGTGTGGTCCAGGGGTGGGACTGAGCTCCCGCCCGCATGCCAATGAAAATCGGCTCATGTGCCACTGATGGCACGTGTACCATAGGTTGCCAACCCCTGTACAGTACAGGGTACACACTTTCAGCCATGCAAAAATCAATTGTATCTGTATAAATTACTAAATTGTGTACATATCTGAAAAAATCTGACCCACAATTTATGCTTGAAATAATATTTTAGTGACAGATTTACAAAATTCAGTTTAAATTGCTCCAGGTTACCTGAAGAAAAGCTGCAAGTAAGCTCAAAAGCTTGTCTCTCACCAACAGAAGTTGGTCAAATAAAAGATATTATATCCCCCCACTTTGTCTCCCTAATATTCTGGGAATGGAACAGCTACACCTCCATAGAAAGCTTCTGAGACACTTTACCTACCTCTGAACTCTTTCCTTTAACTTTTCCCCTCTGTGCATTTTTTACTTGTTCATGATACTGTTCAACAAGTAAAGCAGACAATACATAAAGCTTTTTAACTCGTAAAGGTTTAGACCTTTTCTTTGCCTCTTCATCTGCAATCTGAAAGAAATAAAGAATGTGGAAAATCATGTCTCTAAAAATGAAAGTACTATTTTTTTTTACAATTCTATGCTAAAACTATATTAAAAATCTTTGTGTAACACAGGAAGCTATGTCAAAAATCCATTTTTACTTGAATTTTAGAATTTACAGATTAGTAATTTACAAATAAACATATATTTGAACATCATCCTCAAAGCTTTAAGTGCAGAATTTATATATCCTAGTGGCTAATAGGCATATAAAGCCATATCCTCAGCTGGTATAAATCAGTCTAGTTTTATTGAAATCAATGAAATGACACCTATCCATGAAACTTGCACCTAAAAATCTCAGTGGTTACACATGCTGCAGGCTCTGAAGTATAAAGCTGCCAGCCCTGCTCCTGAGGAGGAGGCTTTGCTGCTGCATTAAAGCCGACTCCCCAGGAGCAGGGCTGGCGGCACCTTCTGGCCCTGCTGGGTGGGGGGTGACCAGGCAATGGAGATGCTTGGCTATGGTTGAAGAGTATTTCTATTAAAAAATATTATACTAAAGAATTTAAAATTGTTTTTAGAAAGTTACATTTTGAATTGAAATGTCTCTTATTATAAGTCAAGAGGTAAATTTTGAAAGTTTGATAAAATAATATAGCCCTTTTTAATTTCTTTGTTGGAAGAAAAAAAACCTAAAAATACATCTGCTTTTTATACCAAGTATGGTTTGTAGGTTTTTTTTTTTTTTTTTTTTTTGCAGTCACGCAACTAAAACTGGCTGGATTTTTTAAAAGTCAAATTTGACAAACAGCTGTCTATAAGGACTACTGTTAGTGCCACAAGAGGAGAAACAATATTAGAAATAATATCTTATAAACATTTGCTGTGACAATGATATTTATATAATGGTTGTCATCCAAAAAATGTCAAAATTGTTTTATAAACTTCGACTGGATATAAATGGATTCAAACTACATACAGTCACCCATATCTGAAACTTAACAGCAGAGAGCAAGTTTTTCACAGGAAGTGAAGAAAATAAAATCTAACTGGGGTAGTTAGATAGTTTTGAGGTTACCCAGGCTTCCATGCAATAACAACTATTTCCAGGGAACAAATGGCTAACAATGGAAAATTTTCACACCACACAAAAGCAACGGATGCTATTTCTGACTGGCCCATATTACATAAAATAAAAAACCATAATACCTTGAACATGAGTTTGGCAGCATCAAAAAAATAGTTGGCTTTACGATAGAGTTCTATGGCATCAAGGATTTTATTCTTTTCCAGTAAATGAGATGCATATCTAGCTAGTAGGGATCCAATCTCTTTCATATTGTGATTTTTAGCCAGCTCAACAGCTTTATTCCACTGAAAATAAGAATAGTCACAATTGTTCAATTTCATGTGTTTTCAAATATATACCAGGAACACTCTTTTCATGTGCAACAGTTAAAACATCATTTTAGAACATTTGACACAATAAAGTCAAAGGAACGGGTAAGTACAATACAGCTACAAATATTTATTCCGTCAATAACCTTGTGTTCATTTTTGTAGCCATTGGGAATGTTAATTTTCTTATAGTCAAAATATCCTATTGTCTTTTACATGGGAAAACAGAAGTTATTATTTTACTAAAAAATATATAGCAAGCCACATTTTTTAATTTTCAGAATTGACATTGATTATAGAAAGTGTCTGAAAAAGGCTCAACATGTATCCATCAAAAGCACACTGTTTTTTGAGGATCACGTTTGTAGACATCTCTCTCCATGTTTTGTATAAGGAGCCTCAGCACCTAACTCAGGGTTGTAGTTCACAATATTGTTATGATTTTCTGGGCACCTAAAAGCTAAGCATTGTGTCACAATGCATAAGTCCCTTTGTTGATCTGATTCTCCATGTCTTTTTGGTCCCTGATGTCTTTTCTGAGAGAGCCAATCATGATCCTAATTGGTAAATGAATAATGCTGTAGCATAGACACTTACGAAAGTGACAGAAGGAATCTTCATTGCTATGGTAAATCCCCTTCTCCAAGAGCCGGTAGCTAAGATGATGGCAGAATTCTTCCATTAATTTAGTGCTGTCTACACTGGGGCTTAGATCAGCATAACTTATATCCTTGAGGCAACATAGCTAGGTTAACCTAACTTTCTAGTATAGAATAGCATGTAATAATAGGTCTCAGACCCTAACAGTTCTTGGTTTAAGCACTAAATAATGAAGTTTTGAAGAGTCATCAGATGACAAATCTGAAATAATCTCATGGGGCACCAAGTAGTAAAAAAATCCATTATTAATCTTTTTATTCATTCCAAGACCACCTTCTGCCAGCTGCCAAATTTCTCACCTGGTTGAGATGTACACAGGTATCTACTGCATCCTTTGGTCGATTACATTTCAGAAACGCAGTGACAGCTTGTTCACACATCCCCACTCTGACAAACATTTGAGCTATGTCCTGCAAAAGACATCACAATCTGTTTACCATATCTTTCCAGTTCTTCAGGACAGTACTTTTGTAATTATAATACTATTACAAGCTTCTGAATTTTGAGTACTGATGCTCTTTACAGATTACAAAGACAGAAAACACACTGCAGTAATATAAAGAAATATATTCTGCTGTTACACCCTGATTTTCAGAACTATATAGGCTTTGAATGAAAAGTGGTGCAGTGCAGAAAATAAACTTTTAGTTGTGGACCGTTGTTTCTTCCTCCTAGGATTTTAGCGCATACATTAGAAAATTGAGCAGAACAGAGTAGGGTTGCGAAAGAAGGGGGTTATGGATGTGTTTGTCCAAAACAGTTTAATAAACTGAAAGGAAATTTAAGTTACATGATTTACCTTTACCACGTACTCTGGAACAACATACAAATCAAACATTTTCCATTAGCTGTTACACACTGGATCCCTTCAATTAGAATCATAGAGTCATAGAGCTGGAAGAGACCTCAGGAGGTCAAGTCCAGCCCCCTGCCCAAGGCAGGACCAATCCCAACTAAATCATCCCAGCCAGGGCTTTGTCAAGCCGAGACTTAAAAACCTCTAAGGATAGAGATTCCACCACTTCCCTAAGTAACCCATTCCAGTACTTCACCACCCTCCCAGTGAAATAGTTTTTCCTAATATCCAACCTAGACCTCTTCCACTGTAACTTGAGACCATTGCTCCTTGTACTGCCATCCATCACTACTGTGAACAGCCTCTCTTCATCCTATTTGGCAACTCCCTTCAGGAAGCTGAAGGCTGCTATCAAATCCTCCCTTACTCTTCTGCAGACTAAACAAACCCAAATCCCTCAGTCTCTCCTCATAGGTCATACGCTCCAGCCCCCTTATCATTTTGGTCGCCCTCCGCTGGACCCTCTCCAATGCGTCCACATCCTTTCTATAGTGGGGGCCCCAGAACTGGACACAATATTCCAGATGCGGTCTCACCAGAGCCGAATAAAGGGGAATAATCACTTCTCTGGATCTGCTGGCAATGCTCCTCCTAAGGCACCCTAATATGCCATTAGCCCTCTTGGCTACAAGGACACACTGTTGACTCATATCCAGCTTCTCATCCATTGTAATCCCCAGGTCCTTTTCTGCAGAACTGCTACTTAGCCATTTGGTCCCCAGCCTGTAACAATGCTTGGGATTCTTCCGTCCCAAGTGCAGGACTCTACACTTGTCCTTGTTGAACTTCATCAGATTTCTTGTGACCCAATCCTTTAATCTGTCCAGGTCACTCTGGACCCTGTTCCTGCCCTCCAGCGTATCTTCCTCTCCCCCTATCTTAGTGTCATCTGCGAACTTGCTGAGGGTGCAATCCATCCACTCATCCAGGTCATTAATAAAGTTCATATTGATGGATCTCTCCCTCTTTCAGGATCAGGAATAACCCCAATCTTCAACTTTCATTAACATTACCTTTGTTGCACTTGTCAAGGGAGCTCTGAACCAGTGGTAGCAACCATGAGAAATTTGAGGCAAAAAAGTCGAGTGCAAACAATGTGAAAACAAACATAACCATAAATAATTTTCTTTTACTTACAGGAAGTAACTTGTTATTTTCTGGAAGTGAGTTAGCCAGATTTTCTAGTCCTTGGTAGTCTTCTAGCATGTAGTAACATTCAGCTAAACGTTCCTGGTTTCTTCCTTGTACATAATATTGTACAGCATTTATCCTAGGGAAGAAAAAAGCCTATTAAGACAAACACTAAGAAATAAATTGTTCGCTAATTATAGAATTGTAAATCAGAAATAAATATTTTCATGTTAGCTATGTTTTTTGGCATTATATAAACTATGAACATTACAGCTATTATAAAACACACGAGATGTTTAGCTTCAGAATTTCATTATGTTGCAGCAGTAACAGGATCCAACAACTACAGCAAAGGTAAAGAGTCAGAAAACCTGGTGTTTATTACTTCATCTGCCAATGAGTGGACAAAAGACTTATATCTAAATTTTTAGAAGTTGTCTATGTTTGGGTATCTCCATTTAGATGCCCATGGTCTGATCTTCACTTCAGTTGAAGTCAATGGAAGATGCAAAGTGCTCAATACTTCTGAAAAATCAGGCCCTATGCATCTAAAGTTGGGCACCCAAATTGTGGCCTTTAAATTCTCTGGAGCAGAGCAAGTTTAGGTTTGGTGGTCTTCAGTGTGTACACTGTGAAATTCTGAAATTCCTCAGTCTTTTCTCTCTCTTGTTTATTTCATTACAACATACTTTTAAGGGTTTTGGCCATTTAGGGTATGTCTACACTGCAGCTTTATTTCAGAATAACTGACATTATTTCGAAATAACAAAACACATGTATACATAGCAAGCCATTATTCTGACATAATGTTGAGATGGAGGACTTCTTACTCCAATTCCTGTAACCCTCATTTCATAAGTAAGGGAAGTCAAAGGAAGAGTGTTCTTCCTTTGACTTCCTGCTGTGTAGACCACAAGCCAAAAGCCAAATTAAGCTATTTCGACTTCAGCTTTGCAAATGACATAGCTGAAGTTGCATATCTTAAATTGACTTTTGCCCTGCAGTGTAGACGTGCCCTAATTAGTAATTAACATTTACTCATAATTTTTAACTCTTATCTTAACAAAATTGTTTGCCTAGAGACTTTTTTTTTTAAAAGCTGAAGACTTTTTTTAGTGATTGGATTCCTGGGAGAGCTGGAATTATTACTTCTCAATTCTCTCCACTACGAATAACTGTTCTCTGTGGAGTTTCAAAGCAGCAAGTAGTGGCTGGACACATTCCATTTGAAACTTACTAACTCTTCAAAGTGACAGGGCTGGATCATGCCTGTTCATTCCACATTTACACACTCTACACTCCAGCTCCTGAATACACCTACCATACTTTAGTGCTGGGCTTTATAAACAGAGTCTTAAATACAAAACAGCTACAACCACCTCATTATTTCCTGCTATTAACACATACCATTTTTGTCTGTCTGCAAAATAGTCTCCAATAGCATTATGTGCTTGTTCAAGAAGGGTGTCATCTGCATCGCCTGAGCCTGTTTTCAATAGCTGCAATACTCGAAACCAGTCTCCTAGTTTTATCCGTAGACCAATAGCTAGATCTCTGAAAATATTAGAAAATATTAGAAAACAAGGAAAATAAAAGCTGCAGAAATTGACATAAGTGTTAGAAGTACTACTTCTGCAGGTGAAAAGAGAGAAGAAATGAAAGACTTACAGCCTGAAGACTTAAAGTGGCATAAAACAAAGAAAAACTACCCTGATTAGTTATCATGCTTCAAACAGTTAAATAAATAAGAATATCTGTTTTAAAAAGAATTTTCAAAAGTATATTTGAAAAAGAGAATTATTTACTTTGGGCTACATTTTGATTGTTTTTATGCAGCTTTCACAGTCATGGGGAAGGGAATAAAAGACTGCCCAGAACTCTAGCCCCTAAGTAGTGGCTGATACTGAAATGTTTTTCCCCTGAAGCAGTCAGGAAATAAGCAGAATCCTGGCTGTCCACTACTCCCACTGGGTAGTTCCACTGTATAGCCATGAGGAAGGGTATATGTTGTATCCCTTAAAGGGATCTCTCAGACTGTGCAACCAGAATGCCTCCTAGGGCTCTCTGCCTCACTGATACAGAATGCCTTCTATTCTATTGGGTAAAAAAGTTATTTTCTTTATTAGCTTTATATTCTTACCTTCAATTTTATTGAGTGTTTCCTTGTTCTTCTATCAAGAGAAAAGCTAATGGAAGCTTTGACTGACATACCTAATAATATTTGTTCTTTTTGATACCTCTTTCATGGCTCTGTTTATCTACTCGTGAAGTCCCACCCAATGTATGGCAGCCTTTTCTTGCCTCCACTCATTTGTCCTCCGTCTCTGGATCCCTATTTCAGCTAACCCTTCTTGGAATGGTATGACCAGAACTAAACAGAATTCCAGCTCAATGTGTGCTCCTAGTTTATAATGTTTTCAATATTTTATTTTCTACTTCCTAAAAAATTGTAAGTAAAAAACACAAACCCTTGAGCAGAAGTTTTCATTAAGCTGTCCAAATGTCATCCATTGTGTTTTCCCATGTGATTACTGCTAATTTAGCAACCCAGCAATGTGCATGTGTAATTCAAAGAATGCAAGATTTGGCTAACAGTTTAAACTATTTCTTTTTTTTTTTTTGGAATCTTACCTGAGCCATTTAGACTCACATTCCAAAAGGTCTATGAAGATTGCTATAGAGATCAATTAGTAAAGAGAGTGGAAGTAAGACTCTTTGGAATGCATTAGCGGTAATTAACCTAAATAATAAAGGGATTTGTAATCTACCAGTTGAGCAGTTTTTTCTATGTAAGTAAATTTGTTCTTTTTCTCAGAACTTGAAAAAGCCCTCACTGCTTAAACATTCCCACTTTTGTTGCTGGAGTTACTCTATGTAATTACCTTCGGTCCATATCCAAATACATTCTTTCAGCTTCTTCAAAGCGGCCAAAGTAAGCTGCCACTTCAGCCTGCTTCATTGACTCGCTCTGCAGATTTCCTAGGCATTTCACAAATTTAATGCCTTGATAGTCTTTGCAGCGCACAAATGCTTGTTCAGCAGTTTGTAGGTCTAGCTTCTGAAGAGCAGCTTCAGCCAGGAGACGCCTGTGGGATCAGCACAGATAGTCACAGAGTTTAAGGAAAAAAAGAGACCACTAGATTTAATTTGTTGTCCTGTATATGACAGGCCACCCGTATCACCTAGAACTCACACACTAAATCCAGCAACCAAAATGAGTTCAAAACATACAACCCACAGGAAATTAGACGTATGTGTCACAGGCAAAGAACAGAGGTTATAGCTAGAAAAGCAGCCATACCAGGAAGTGATATTAGGAATCATTTAACTAGTCAAGTTAAAAGAGACACCTGAATGAGGGCTAATTCAGCACTCACTTCTAGAATCACTAACCTCAATGTGAGTGTATGCCATCAAATATCCAGTGGAGTGTCCAGTTCCACTGAGTGTACTGAAAGAAGCATGCATTCATTGGAACTTAATGGTACAAATAATTAAAAAAATTTGTAATGGCTTCCACTCATAGGTGCTGGAACTAGGGGTTCTGCGGATGCTGCCGCAACACTTGTTTTTAAGTGGTTTCCATGATATACAGGACTTACAGTTTGGTTCAATGGATCTTGGCATCCCCACCATACAAATCGTTCCAGTACCACTGCTTCCCCTTCTAGCTCACCTGGTCAAGACTAGGGATATTAAATTGCATTTAATCAACCAGTTGATGGAAATTTGATTTGTTGATTAGTAGATAAGCGGGAGAAACTGAGGAGCCGCTGTGGGATCAGCTTTCAGTCCTGGGAGCTGATCCCACTGTGGCTCTGCCTTTTAAATGTATTAAGAATTGGCAGGCTCTTAATACATGTAAAAGGCCGAAGCACAGCTGGAAAAGGGGGGTGGTGGGGAGAACCAGGCGTGATCTGGGACAGCTGATTCCCGGCTCCTGTCTGGTCCCCCGCTATGCCTCTGCCTCCCCTGCCCCTGCGAAGATGGTGCTGGGGGGAACCAGCTTTTAAGACTCCACTGGCTCCTACACCCCCTTGCTGTCTCTGATAAAGGCAGCAAGAGAGGGGAAGCAACTAGTCGAGTCACTACTCCACTAGTCGGTTATATCCCTAGTCAAGACTGCTCTAGGTTAGTAAGGAATCAGGGACAGATTGTTTTGTGACTCTTCAGTAGAGCTAGGAAAAAAATTTCATACAAATAGTTATTAACCAAAAAAAAAATGCAGTTCCAGGTTGACCAAAACTATTCACTACTTTGTGCTGTGTTCAACAAATGGCAAAAGTCCTGCAATGAGGTTTAACAGGTAGTTCGAAATAGGGTTTTATTTCGAACGCCCGTTTCACTGCCGCGTGTAGACATGGGCAGTTATTCCAGGCTTGTAAATTTCAAAAATAGCGCCCGGCCGGGAAGATGCAAATCAAGCGCGGGATATTTAAATCCCGGGTTTGATTTGCAATTCCGAATGCCTACATTTGCAGCCCTAATCTGAAATAGGCTGCAAGTGTAGACATTTCAAAAGAGCTATTTCGAATTTGGCATTATTCCTCGTGGAATGAGATTTACCAAATTCGAAATAAGCGCTCCGCTATTTCGAATTAATTTTGAAATAGCGGTTTGGCTGTGTAGACGCTAGTAAAGTTATTTCAGAATAACGTCTGTCATTTCGAAATAACTTTGCTGCGTAGACATACCCTAAGACAGACAGACAGACAGAGACAATCATGAGCGGGTCATTGTTTTGGTAATGCTAAACCCAAGTTCAGGTCCCTGCTCTATGGATAGTCGTTGGAGCAGGAACCTGAACTTGAGTCTCCTACACCACACTGTTATTCACAGTGGCAAATCATAGTTATTCATATGACAAGGAACAGTGATTGGGCCAGGGAAAGAAAATGAGAATGCCTCTACAGCCTGCTAGTTAGCAATCTCACCTGAGAGATGGGAAACCTAAGTTCAAGTCCCTCCTTCACATCAGGCTGAAGGGGGACTTGAACCTATGCATCCAAGATGAATGACCCCAGATGAATGACCCAATTGCTGGCTTAATACCAATAAGAGAGACATTACTACTGTCTCAGGTTATTTTCAAACCCTTTCTTTTTGTCAAAACACCTGAAAAACTACATAAATTTTGGGAAGGGTGAGGAGGGGGCGGGGGGGTTGAAATGACACCAAAATGTCATTTGTATATTACCAAAACATTTTGGTTTCAAAATTTTTCATTTTGATAATATCATAGAATACTAGAATTGAAAGGGACTTCGAGAGATCATCAAATCCAGTCCCCTGCCAATGATGGAGATTCCACAACCTCCATAGGTAATTTATTCCAGTGTTTAATAACCCTGACAGGAAGTTTTTCCTAATGTGTAACCTAAACCTCCCTTGCTGCAATTTAAGCCCATTGCTTGTTGTCCTATCATCAGAGGTCAAGGAGAACAATTTTTCTTCCTCATCCTTATAACACCCTTTTAGGTACTTAAAAACTGCTATCATGTCCTCTCTCAGTCATCTCTTTTCTAAATTAAACGAACGTAGCTCTTTCAGTCTTCACAGGTCATGTCTTCTATATCTTGATCTTTTCTGTTGCTCTTCTCTGGACCCCCTCAAATTTTTCCACATCTTTCTTGAAATGAGGTGCCCAGAATTAGACAAAGTACTTCAATGAGGCCTAATCAACACAGAGTAGAGTGGAATAATTACTTCTCGTGTCTTACTCACAATATTACTGTTAATGCATTGCAGAATCATATTTGCCTTTTTTGTATCAGTCTCATACTCTTGACACATATTTAGCTTGTTTCAGTTAATTTTTACAGACACTAGGACTTGTAGAAAATTGATAAGAGAAGCAAAGATATCCAAGGAAAATGCTAAAGCAGGCATCTCAAATTCCAGCCCATGGGCCATCCCTGTTCTGAGCAGCTGCAAATCTGGCCTGAGAGTCTCAGTGGGCTAGGAGGGGAGGCTGTTTGTTCCCATCTCCCCAAGTCCTGGCCCTTCCCACCATCACCATGCCCTCTCCCCCACCATGGCATGCCAAAAGACATGGCCTCGGGGGATACTGATGAGGGGCCCTGGTGCAGGATGGCAGCAGTGGGCAGGCCCTTCCACACACCCATGGCAGATGGAGCCACAGGGAGGTAAAGTGTAGAGGAGCAAGAGCACTCCCCACACTGCCACATCCCAAGCTATTCTTTTCTGTGGATAAATAAAGGGTTTCTACCACCAAAGTGGTCAATCTGGCATTTGAATGAGCTCTAAAATGTATTACAAACCCCAAACTAACTAGGTCTGGCTTAGCCTCTCAACATATTGAATGAGTCAATACAACTAGAGCACTACCTACATAGACCAGATATATCAAGCCTGATCTATACAAGGAGTTCTGAAACTCTTTCTGAGTTGTCCCTCATCTCCAAAATGCTACAAAAACTCCACAGCCCACTTGTGCCACAACAAATGTTTTTCTGCATATAAAAGCCAAGACAAGTATTGATGGGTAGCAAGCAGTGCTAGTGACTGAGGCCCCACACCACAGGGAGCCCTTTGAAGCTAACTTGCTCAGGCTTTAGCTTTAACCCAGGGGTGGGGGAGTGGGCTCAGGGTCCCAGGCTTCCATCCCATGCGGTGGGGCTCTGGATCTCTGCCATGGGTCCTAAGTCTAATCCCTCAAACATGTCTTGCACTTGTCACTGTTTGCCATCTCTAATAGAAGCATGGAACACCCTATTGTCATGAGTGTTGCAAACACAGAATGCATGTGCCTCCAGCAGCAGAAGAAAACATGATAATTCTGTAGATGACAGACTGCTGTGAGACATAGCAAAAGCCAATTCAAACTTGTTGATGGCATTCTCAGAGCAGCTCACATGGCAGAGTCCCGCTTCTGGAACTTAGAGATGACCAATGATAGGTAGAATTACATTGTACTGCAGGTTTGGGATGAAGAACAGATATGCTGCGGAACCCACCTCAGCCCTCCAATAAGGGACATTAGAATGAATTGCACTGACAGTTGAAAAGCAAGTGGTGATTGCACTATGGAAGCTTGCAAGGTCAAATTGCTACCAGTGAGTGGGAAATCATTTTGGAGTTGGAAAATCCACCATAGGGACCTTTGTCATAAGTGTACAGGGTTGTTAATGGTAACCTACTATGCTGGCGTTGGCTCTGGTAATGTGTAGGACATTGTGGATGAATTTGCAGCAATGGAGTTTCTAAACTGTGGTATGTATATCCCTATTTTAAGCTTGCCACAGAGTATACCAATAGAAAGTGTTTTCCATTGTTATGCAAACACTGGTAGATTCTTGGGTCACTTCACCATATCAGTATGGGCTGAGGAGGGAAGATGGATGACACTCATATATTTAAGAATACAGAACTGTTCAGACTGCACGCAGGGGCATTTTTTGCCAACTGGTGGATTACCATTGGTGATGCTGAAATGCCATTAGTGATCCTGGGAGGACCCAGCCTACCCCTTGCTCAAGCTTCCATAAAGAAGCTTGAGACCTTGACATCACTAAAGAAACATTCAGCTACTGGCTCAGCAGGTGCAGAATGACAGTTTGGTGTGCTTTTGGTAGACTGAAAGGAAACCAATATTGTTTACTCAAAAAACTGGATTTCTGAGAAAAATATCCCAATGGTTATAGCTGCCTGTGGTGTCCTGCATAATATTTGAGGCAAAAGGTGGAAAAGTAGCCACAAGAGTGGAGAGCAAAGATGGAGCAGTTGTCTGCTGAGTTTAATACAACAGACACAAGAGCTATTTAAAAAGCACAATATTGAGCTGTGTGTCAGAGAGGCCTATTCTGTCTTTTTATAATAAACTAGGGGACTTGTTTAAGAAGAAGTATATGAAAAGACAGGTTTATAATTCAATGGAAGCAGCAGAAGAATGGATTTTGAAAAGGGATTTTACCAAAGTCTAGGATGTGGATTATCTTCAATGAATTGGGAAGACTCCTCAATCCCGACCTCTTCAATCAATGCACGACTGTCTCGTAGTGATCGGATCTCAAAGTTAATTATATATTCTTTGTTAGGATGCTCAGGGTTCTAAAAGACAGGAAAAAAAGACCAAATTTTACTCAATGCCTCTACCACTCCTTAGAAACTGCCTTTGTGCAAATCATGTAACGTAGAAACTAGGGATGTAAGTTAATCGGTTAACCAATAAGTTAACACATATTGGTTATCCCCACCAGTTAAACTCTCCTTTGGGCTGGGAGGGTTGGCAGCCCCATGCCTCCAGCAGCCCGGTGGGGCTGGGAGTGATAGCCCCAGCAGTCCCCTGGAGCCAGGAATCCTGGCAGCCCCATAGGCTGGGAGCTGCAGCAGCCCTGGAAATTCCATGGGGTTGGGAGCCACGGCAGCACTGGCAGTCTTGCGGAACTGGAAGTGGTGGCAGCCCTGCAAGGCTGGGAGCCATGGCAGCCCCAGAACAGTTACCTGTGTAACTGATAACTGATTTTTATCAGTTACAATATTTATATTCTTTTCATTTTTCACATCCCTATTAGACACTAGATTTTTCTACAATAAAAATTTAATCACACTTACTTTTAATATTTCATCCAACAGAACAGATTTAATTTCTAAATCTTCAAAGTTGCAAATATATCCAGAAGTCTGAATGGGTTCCTTAAAATAAATAAGGTTAAAAGATAATAAACAACTTTACATAAATCTGATACAAGTTTCATATTTATTTGCAGTGTTGTTGTAGCTGTGTTTGTCAAAGTATATTAGAGAAAAAAAAGTGAGTGATCTCTTTCATAGGACCAACTTCTGTTGATGAAAAAGACAAGATTTCAAGCTTACAGAGAGCTCTTGAAATCTGTGAAATGTATGCAGGCGCTGTCTATTTTAGTACTACACCAGAAAAGTGTAGACTATGGCAACTCTTATTTCATTTTAGACTAGAGATGTAAAATCCCTTAGGTTAAACTGGCTAGCTGATTCAGTGGGATCCCAGGAGGGACTGCTCCAGCCCAGTTGGAGCTGCCCTCAGCCTGTAGAGCTACTGGCATTTGCTCCCGCTCCATTCCCCCACATGTGGAGTGGCCAGCTTCTGCTCCCAGCACCTCCGCGTTTGCACATGTGGAATGGCTGGCTTCCAATCCTGCCACAAGCAGGGGCTGCTCCGAGGTACCAGTTAACGAGTACCTGGTAAGCCTCACCCAGTAAGACTGATGTTTACCATGAAACCAGTTAACTAGTTACTCATTCACATACCTATTTTAGACATTTGCTATGGAAACAAAAGGGTTCTCCCATTACCGAATTAAACCTTCTCCCGGAGAAGCAATAACTAGATCAATGGAAGAATTCTTCCCTTGATCTAGTGCTCTCTACACTGTTACTTAGCTTAGCTTAACTACATTACTCAGATGTATGGAGTTTTTGTACCCATCAGTGACACAGTGTAGACCAGCCCTACAGTATCACAGTTAAATTCAAGATGGATCAGATTGTTGAGTATAACAAGTTAACATATTAAAAAAACTTCAAAAAATAACTAACAACTAATAGTTAACATGTTGTAAGGTACCACTCAAAGTGAAGTTAGCAGTTAATTTCCCTGCATTTGTAGTGTGTAAGAGCTAATCTACACAGAAAATTTACACCAGCATAACTATATCTCTCAAGGGTGTGAAAAATCAACACCCCTAAGAGACACTGGTTGAGAAGCTGGATATGAGTCAACAGTGTGCCATGGCAGCCAAGAAGGCTAATGGCAAATTAGGGTGCATTAGGAGGAACACTGCCAGAGGATCTAGAGAAATGATTATTCCCTTTTATTTGGCACTAGTAAGGCCACATCTGGAATAGTGCGTCTAATTCTGGGCCCCTCACTACAGAAAGGGTGTGGACCCATTGGAGAGGATCCAGCGGAGGGAAACCAAAATGATTAAGGGGGCTGGAGCACATGACCTACGAGGAGAGGCTGAGGGATTTGGGCTTATTTAGTCTGTCGAAGAGAAGAGTGAGGAGGGAATTTGATAGCAGCCTTCAACTTCCTGAAAGGAGGTTCCAAAGAGGATGGAGAGAGGCTGTTCACAGTAGTGATGGATGGCAGAACAAGGAGCAATGGTCTCAAGTTACAGTGGGGGAGGTCTAGTTTGGATATTAGGAAATACTATTTCACTAGGAGGATGGTGAAGCACTGGAATGGGTTACCTAGGGAACTGGTAGAATTTCCATCCCTAGAGGCTTTTAAGTCTCGGCTTGACAAAGCCCTGGCTGGGATGATTTATTTGTGGTTGGTCCTGCTTTAGGCAGGGAGCTGGACTCTATGACCTCCTGAGGTCTCTTCCAGCCCTATGATTCTATGATATTGCTATGCTGACCAAACCCCCGGTGTGGACAGTGCTAGCTCAACAGAAGAATTCTTGCATTGACCTCAGGGAGATCGGATTTACTACAATGATGTAAGAACCCTTTGTGTCGCAATAATGTCTACGATAGAAAAGCTGTTCCACGTATCTTTTCTAGAATACACACATCCTAACAAAATCCCTTGAAGGTGTTATGCAAGTCTTTGAGGATGCATACTGAGACCAAAAACTAACAGTTTCACAAAACCATCACTCCATAACTGACTTCTCAGTCCTCTTCCTAAAAGGAAACCTTCACAATACTTTAAAAAAACGAGCTAGGGGGCTTACATTCATAACTTTGTTACACACTAAAAATCATAGACTTGGTAAAGACACTGGATTTATGGCTCATTACAACATTCTATAACCCACCTCCTTTATTTTAGTGGCATTTGAGTACCTTACCAAACCTGAAGAGCTCTGTGTAAGCTCAAAAACTTCTCCCTTCCACTAGGTCCAATAAATGATATCCACCTTTTCTCTCTCATAGGTTCATACATGTAAACAAACTTTCCTTGTTGCCAAATCAAATTTTAATGACATTTCTTATGAGAAACAGATGCATAGGACAATAATCTTGGCATATGGATGTATGAACAATTAAAATCTGTTTATTATTTAGGATAAACATATATTTCTATACCTAGTAGATAAAGAAAAGTTCAGAGGTGGATTTAACCAACTCTCTATGTTTTACCATTAATTTTCAATAAAATCTTAGCCACGCTATCTAAAATAATATCTATAGCACTATTTTGTAATCTCACACAAATAGAATATACCGTAAGTAAAAGCAGTTAAATCCTTTTTTATTTTTGTAACATAAATGAAATTTGGTAATTTATTTTTGTAGGCAGCACTTATACAATATAGCTAGCTGGTTTCTTAGGATTCCCAGATATAGACCAGATATGTATGTACTTGTCTAACTTTAACCATGTGAAAAGTCCTACTAGTCCCAGAATTTCAAATGTACAGTATGAAATATACTGTGATTCATTTTCATATCCTGATCATTTTACCTCAGGATCCAAGTTTCTGAAAACATACATTCTTGTTTTCTCCATCATAGCAAACAAGTCTGGATTATCTTTGGCCCATTTCATATCCCAGACATCTTTGCGCTCCAACTTCAACTGCTCGCCTACGACTTGCTGTCCTGTACTGTCTGTTACTCGTGTATCCAAGTCAAAGAATGTTAGAATTCCAGAAAGGTCTATGATAGCCAGGCGACTATCAGAAAATGGTGGCAGTGGGGAAAATGAAAAAGTTGATTAGTAGTATTCAAATCTAAACAACTACCATCTTTCTGCAAGAGACAGAATAAAATAGATGCTAAAGGCCTGATTCTGATTTCTCAGTAATTTTACATTAATGTAATTTCACTGATTTCAATGCAGTTATATATGAGTTATGCTGGTGTGAGAAAAGAGTAAGGCCATAGGGTAGAATGAATTAAATAAATACTTTAAATTCCAAATGGCACACATTCATCTACCCATGTAGGGCCTAATCCTACAAGGTGCTGAATACATTGAAATCCCATTCATGTGTATTGTGGGGTACTTAGTACTTTACAGGAGCTCAACAAATTGCAAAATCTGACCCTATACAGTTGACTTCATGATAACTATACCAATAAGATGCACTATTTATTATGCCCAAACCCAAATGTAACTCTTCAATGATAATTAATTTGTAAAGGTATTTTTAAAATGTCTTGTACTAAATTCCCTGCCACATCTTAAAACAAACGGTAAGTAGCAAATAAAATGAAAAATTCCATTGCAGTAATAAAGGATTACACACCTCTGCAAAACTGGGAAATTATCAAAATTATCAAAAACTATACTTCAAACTGTATTTTAAATAACTGCAGAGATTAATTAACTGGATTATTGTTCAATATATTACTTTGACAATGCTAAAGAATTTCCTCTATATAAAAATAAAGAGGTTCCACGTGTGATAAAGTTTCTCACTATGAAATTAAAACAACCAATTCTGAAAAGCAAAACTTACTTTTATAACTTTTGCACTTTTAACATAAGAATAAAATGAGAAAAATTACCGTCAATCATGTGCAAACAATTACAGTTAATCCTAGCAGGAACTATGTAATCAGTGGGAGAAAAGAGCCAATCATGATATAAAAATAATATTAATGAACAATAACATTGTTAATAAAATTAAAACCAACATTTGGTATCTAAATAGCACCTTTATTCTATGTATCTTCAAGTGCTTTACAAAGCACATTTGCAGATGGAGAGAAGGAAGTACAGGCAGTCCCCGGGTTACGTACAAGACAGGGACTGTAAGTTTGTTCTTAAGTTGAATCTGTATGTAAGTCGGAACTGGCGTCCAGATTCAGCCGCTGCTGAAACTGACCGCCAGTT